TGAAATGGTTAAAAAAAAAATAAAAAAAAGGAATGATTATATTAAATTATGAGAGCCATTACACCAACGTTTATTTGTATAAGATATATTGTTCTGCATGTCAGTTTTTGTAAAATTATGTCGTGACTGATGCTGAACCAAAAAAATGGGTTGGACAAAATAAGTATAAACTTCAACTCACTCCTTTTCTAATATATGCTTTAAATATGATCAAAATACATTTATGGTATTGTTTTCATGCAGTTTCTGGAAAAAAGACTGCCTGCTCCAGATTATGGTTTTTAGGCTTGTTCAAAATAAATAAACAAACCTATGATGGAAAGAAACCTAAATGAACGGGGAAAGAAAATCAGCTCATAAAGAACAATACCTACTAGGATTTGAACCAAAGTTCTTCACAGTACAGCCTCTTATTTATCTGTATCAGTTAAAGCTCTATTTCTTTAAATGATGGTCTGCTACGACACCTAGAGGTGTAGGAAGTTACTGCAGGTCTTCCATTGCAGCAAAATGCACAGTATCTACATTAGTGTGGTGTATTTACATACCTGATTCACCAGCTTCAACAGACTTTAGTTGGATTTCTTAGAAGATGTATGTTCAAAAATGTCCTCCAGAAAGATGGTAACAATACATAGATTATTTTATTTGCATGTTACATGATGGTTAACACATCAGTCCCGTTGGGAAGCTGTGTTTAGTCCGAGTTTCCAAAACAAAGAGGAAAAAAGAGCCCCAACATTTCAAGTCACATTCAAATACAGAACACTGACTTCAAACAACTTTATTTTGTTAACATTTTCTCATACAATTTACCTTTAATACATATTTTTTTAATATAAATGGACTGGAAATACCTTATGCAATATTAAAATAAAGCAAAAACAAAGAAAAAAAATCCCCCAAAAGCATTTCCACATCAGAGTCCACGACTGAAAGTGAATTTCCCATGAACGAGGGAGGGGAGATACAAACTGTTTACATTTTTAAAAGGTGGAGCTGCTTGGATGAGATTTTTAAGGAGGTGGTGACTTCACATCATTCTAATGTAGAAACATAATTTTATATACAAAAAAAGGGGAAAAAAAGCAAAGAAAGACCTTAAAATTAAAGAACAGAGGGTTACCACGGTAACCATCACTTAACTGCCTGATGAACTCTTTATATATCTGGTTTATAACGTCAATCAGGGTCATTCGTCATTAAAACGACCATTTATGAGAGACAGCTTACTTCAGTGAAGCGATGTTAAGAACTAAAATCTGTGCCTCTAGCTTTTAGCAGATATCTGTCCGCAGGGTTTGCGCTCTGGTTTATAAGACAGAGCTTCATGGCTTTTACGTGTGTAATCTGAGTATTTACAGCAGGTTAACCATATCCAATAACATTTCTTTTATGATGTTAGGTTACAACTACAAACTTCAACATCATTTTCTGGGATTGTGTGTTCTACACCAACACAAATCAGAGAACATCTGTGAAGTGGAAAGAAAAAGGAACAGTTATGGCTTTTAAGACTTCTAATCATCTATTATTGCTAACAATAGTCTACTGTATGTCATTTTATCTTAGTATGAGTACAGCTGTTCAACAAAGCAGTATATCTCAGGATTCAGGCATTTTTTAAGTGCTATTAAAACTACCATCCAAAAAGAAAATGAAGGCACAACTGCAAGCATACTAAGATGTGGCTGTCTAGCTAAACAGACACTCTGGACAGAGAAAGCTTTAATCAGATAGGGAGCCATAAGACCAAAAGTTACTCTGAAGGAACTGCAAAAATGCACTTTCTTTTCCCTTTCACACATAAATGAATCCCTACTTGAAAATCCCAACAAAATAAATTGAATTTTGTGGCTGCAGTATTAAAAAAAGTGGAAAAAGCTCAAGGTTTTAACCTGCATGGATCTGCTTGGACTCCCAAACTGCTGAGCTTTTGCCCATAATATCCTGAATGGTACAAATGTAGTCTATGGATAAACCTAATATGCATTAATCAGTGTTTCCTTAAATGTTTTGCTTTTAAGCAGAGATTATGCTATCCAATGCTGAAATGAGGGCTAGAAATTCTCAAAAGAATCACGGTCTAATGAATTTACATGATGGCAGAAACATGGACGTAAAAAATAGGAATACAAATTTCTACTTCTGATCATCTTCTTTAGGTCAGTTTTATATTTTTTAAAGGGAGGTAGGGAGTGAAACAGCAAGAGGAATGGAAAACCAGCAAACTGACATGTCAGAGTGACTCCTTCCTCCTTGCAATTAGAAAAGGGAATGATGCTGTGCATTAAGTATGTGCTGCAAGATAACAAACCCGGGTTGTAAAAAAAAATAATTGAAAACAATGTATAAGAGAGTGAAATTAAAAGTGGAGTTCTCTTCCTTCCATAGAGTCAGAAATGTGATATTGGATTTGGTGTGACCAAAAACAGTAGTTCAAGTAAGAATTCCCCAGGTTTTAGGTTCAACATCACTACGACAGACAGCTGCACTGCAGAGGCAATCACCATGGAAACGCTTCCCCAATCTTTAGATAAATGGCCATAAAAGGACATTAGTTTAATGTTAGCTTTATGATAACTCAGAATGTGAAGTTCTGAGCAGAGCAAAGGAATCCACAGTCTATAAGCTTCACAGCAGGTCAGAATAAATGGAAAAAAGGCAGCTAATGGTGCATCAGGTTCACTGTGCATCAGCTGCGTCCCTGAACTGCACTCTGAGAGAGCATTCTATGATTTAAGAAAAGACTCGTTGAATTGATCTACTCATTTGTTCCTGCAGAAATGAATCCAATGATAGCTTCGGCGAAGGCCTTGGTGATTTGTTTCAGTTACATGTGTTACTTTTCAAAACATGGCCTTCAGCTCAGTAGCCTTGTCGACTATTGAGAGGAGTTCAGTTCAGTATCCTTTACCGTTCCGCTTAATTCCAGGCATGTGAACAAACTCTGCAAGCAAACCATAATACTGCATTCTTTAAAAAAAAAAGGTAATCTCAAGGATAGGAGCAACAAAAAAACGACGGCACAAAACATTCGGATTTTAATGCATTAATTTTCCTCCTAATTTTCCCGTCCAGTTGGCTTCTATTGAAACAACTGAATATGATGCTGCCCTATTCAGTAATATCAAACGCCTCTTTTCATAGAATGACAGCACCACCACTAAAGATGTGTAGAAAGCCTTAAAAACAAATCCATATTTTATTCAAGGACAATTTAATCTCTTGTATATTTAGAAAAATCCAGACGCTGAGTAAATTTAATCAGTACGGTACAATAATAACTTCAAATGAATGGTGCACTTATTGGCAGTCCAAACGGTTCCTATAAACACCAAAAGATCTTTCTAAGATGTATATTTTAATATCAGTTTTAATCAAAATTTCAAGAAATGTCTAAATTGTAGTTTTTTGGTTTTACAGTACTTCGAAGGTGTAAAAATTACACTTCTAACGGTAACATTTTTGTTATGAGAGCCCAGAAAACGCGGTTGAAGTTTTTGAAAGTCTGACGAAGCAGTTCTCCCCCTCCCCTACTTTTTGCTGCACACTGCCAGTCAGCTGTGTGTGGGTAAACTTTTCCCATGGATAAAGAACACAAACCTCTTAGTATATAGCCTTTACTTAGCAACAATAAAAATTTTTTCCCCCTAGTGTATGCTGTGAAAAATGTCCAACGCTGACATGTTTCTGTAACAGGCATAAGTTATCTACTTTCAACAGGTTGTTGATGTTCTAAAAATCACAAAGTAAGATTCTTAAATTTTTGCTGAACTCTGCTAGACTTATAGCTCCCAGCTTTCTGTTCAATTAGATCCTGGAAAATTTAGGTTTGAACAAAGGATTAGAAAAATGCACCTCTTGCTCAGTGTTAAGTATGGTGGAGAATGTGTGATGCTTGGGGACACAAGTTAACTTCCATAGTGCCGTCTCTCTGATTAAACTAACCCACTGCAAACAAGGGCTCTACGAAGATGCACCAACAAGTGCGCCGTCAAGTTAACAAGTGATTTATAATAAAATATTATTTCCACACTGAATAAATATACTCAATTATGATTCGTTTTTAATTGTTAGAGATACGGTGGCCCTGAAGTGCAAACTGCAACTACAAATCTAAAAGCGCAACTACATTAAGGAAATCGCAACTACATTAAGCAAAGCGCAACTACATTAAGGAAAACACAATTACATTAACCTACCGGAAAAGGTAGGTACCAGTGGGAAACATGAGACATCGCTGATTGGACGACGGCGCCGTTTTGACCCCTTGATCCCGCTTCAAAATATTCCTGGATAACGGCAGCTATGTTTGGGGCGCCGACAATATCCATGTTTTCAAAAGCCACAGTAGTCAGAATGACTTCCGGTTCAAGGGTCAAACGGCGCCGTCGTCCAATCAGCGATGTCTCATGTTTCCCACTGGTACCTACCTTTTCCGGTAGGTTAATGTAATTGTGTTTTCCTTAATGTAGTTGCGCTTTGCTTTATGTAGTTGCGCTTTGCTTTATGTAGTTGCGATTTTAGATTTGTAGTTGCAGTTTGCACTTCAGGGCCACCGTATAGAGATGATGTTTCTGCAATACCGGTTTATTAATTTTCAGGTTGTTAACACATCTTCATCAAAGGGTGCCAATAAATGTGGTCAGTAACTTTTTTAAAACAAGGTAATTTGGTTAAAGTATGCCCTATAAATGTAGAATATGATCAAGACAAAAAGAAATAGCCTCAACGTCGTATATGGTTATGAATGTTTCTGTATAATTTCATAGCAAAACACAGAAAAAACTTAAAGGTAAGTCATTCATTGGTGTCATACTAATCTATTTTTTTTCATCAGATTTCCACTGTACAGCAGAATGATCCTGAAACACGTCATCTAAAGCACACACTGCAACAATGTTCTCTGAAATCCTGGTGTTACAGTGGCAGAACTCGTCTAAGAGAAATACAAAATTTTAACTATGTACAGTACGCATAATTATAACCTACATGGGTTTATTTTATTTTTTTGTATGTGTGTGTTTATGGTTTTCTTTTTTAATAAAGGCGAGTAGTAGCAAAAGCCACTGGATGAGGGCGTAACGGATGAGTTTAGCTCGGAAGGATCCAATCTCTGCATCCTCTTTTCTAAGATTGATTGTGACAGCCCGACTGAACGGGGAGCCGTCTTTGCTAAGGCCCTGTATTTGTGTTCCAGCCGAGTAGCATCATGTAATGGTTGAACACATTCAACACAAAGCTCTTATTTCATCTAAAAAAAATAACAAGATACAGCAAATTTCCCTTTCGTTTAGCCCATTAGTTTCTAATTTCCGTGTATATTTGGCAATTTTTTAAACATCTTTAATAAATGCACTGGTTGAACCACAGATTAATACAAGAAATCAAAGGAAGTACGATGTACTCCATAGAGCTGATTGTTGGTACTCCAGTTTCAGGGATGCTTCCGCTTATTTTCCCATAAAAAAAAAAAAAGACCCCAAAACAAGATTTTACAGACACAAAAAAAGTGCATACAGATCAAAAACAACAACACAAATCTTTGTAAGAGCACTGTTTGCTTATTCTGTCCTTCGTTCCACTGTTATATGTTGGTAAAACATTTAAATCCTTCATAACCCATTGTTTCTTCTAATATCTGAAAGCCGTGCTCAAGAGTGCTCAAGAGCACATAAGGTTTTTGTACCGTGATGCAAACAGTCTGCGGGAGGGAGGCGGCAGCATTGGTAATAAGGTAGCGACAAGCACATCAGTGAGTTGAAAGCAGGAAAGGAGGGAGGACAGGTTGGCCAGGGGGGCGGGGTCAGAGACAAAGCTGGATGGCGGTATTAACACTTGAAGAAAAGGCAAGCAAAGGAGGCCAACAGGAGCCACAGTGATAGAGATGCACAGGCAGAGCCGTTGATGTCTCGACCTGTCCCAGGTCCTGAAAGAGAAGCAAAGAGGACAGTTAGAATAGGTGATGACAGAGTCTTGTCTTCAGTACTGCAAGACTACTGTTCACATTGGATTAAGGTAACCAATGTGTTAGAAAGAACTGCTATTCATAAGACTCAACAAGAAGGCTTTAGGACTTGAGAGAAAAAAGCTTGAGCATCTAAAAAAGTTTGTGTAAAACATTTTTGACCACGTTTAGTCCTCAGCCTGCTTTATATCAGCAGGCATTAGTCGCCCACATTCATTTTATTCTCAAGGACATGATGCAGGACACAGACAATCTCTTTTTTTCCAATTTGTTTCTCTGAGTTGTTCTTGTCTGCACGAAGATCTCAAGGAATGACTACTGACAAAAAGGGGTGTTTGGTGACATCTAGTGGCTGCATTGTGTAATTGAGGAACTCCACTCAACAATTCAGTTCTTAGAAATTCAAAATTAGACTTAAAAAAAAAACTATTGATAGAAAAAAAAATCTTTGTTTGCCTTTTAAAGTCAATTAAGATAAATTAGACTTCATCCATGGAGCATTTGTTACTCCGTCTCTAAAGTGATTATATTTATTTGTTTCAGGTTCCAACTAATAAAAAAAAGACAGCTTGATATACAGTGCAATACATGCTTAAATATCAAACCAACTGAGGAAAAACCGATACTGAAAGACAGGCATGTGGGGAATGCTACAGTCTACCCTTTAAATATTCCGTCTGAACCCAGGATCCAACAAATCAATTGTCTTTTGTTTTTTTTATGGGAATAGTGGACTTCATTTTCTTTGTTATTTTCTAATAGTAGACAGAAAATGGGATTGGAGAAAGGGGGGAGACAGGCAGAAAAGGTCAACAGGCCAGGACTTCCACACTGAGAACAAAGGGTCATATGGGTCATGCACACTTAACCCCTGCACGACCAGCTGCCCCCCCAACATGTCTATTCAGTGAACATCCTTCAACCTCATCCTTTAATCATGTTGTTTATATTCAGAAGAATTGACCCACATGTGTGTGTGTGTGTGTGTGTGTGTGTGTGCGTGTGTAGGGGATTTATTTTCTTTTAATGAGTTACCTAAATATATTTTTTTAAATATTTTGTTTTTTTCTTAATACAAATTAATAGATATTTCAGAAAATTGCTTACAATAACTTAAAGCATAAGAACTAAATTATACATTTAAATATATATTTAATTAACTATACATAATGTTTGCATGTTAATTTTTAATCTTTTTACTTGCTTGTCTGAAATAAAGTTATTATATATTTAATTTATTTATTTATTCATTTCTTTATTCATTCACTACTGCGATCCTCTAATGATCTCTTACCATAAAAGTTGAGTCACTATAGCATTTATTTACAAAGAACTGGATTCCTCCACACCTACAGATAGACTAAGTTCACATTCATCTAATTTCTCTGTTTTAAAGTAAGTTGTTAAAATCTAACCTTATGAAATGTTTTCCTTAAGCTCCCAGTTAATTTGTAAGGACAAACATTGTGGTGCGTCAGAGCAATAGGGATAAGATCTCACCATGGCTTCGCTGTCCTTTAATCACTGTTATTACTGATGATTGTTGTCAAGGCAACATGTTTTTTTCCAACTGCTTAATCTCAGCATCTCAATAAATTAAAATCCAAAATTTCACTTTTTGTTTTTAGATAGTGCTAAGGAGGTATACTGGACAAATATGCCTTCCTAACCAGACTTAGCACTTTCCAAGGAAGCGCCTTTATCTCCCTCTAGTGGTCAGAACTATATGATATTATACCCAGATAAGCTAGTTTGCGTTGCATTATTAGATCCAATATATAGATTGTCTTTGGTGTTTATTCAAACTTTATTCTCTAATCAATTGAGAATCTGTTTCACGGGAAAAGCATAATTAATTCCATCTTTATACACAAAATATTTTTATAGGAAATAAGATTTTAAGGATTACACCTCTTTAAATTGCAACCTGGTGACACAGAGGACTTAAAAGTTTTGACAGCTGAAAGAAAAAGAAGAGACATAATTGTGCAAATGTCAATTTTGCAAGCTGTTTCATTACTACAGTGAATAAAATTCTTGATTTAAATAACATTTTTAGATTTTTTTTATATTGATAATATAGACTGAACAGTTCAGCATAGAAAAAGTTTTACTATTTTCTCCTCTTTAATGTTATAAATATACATTTCCTTGCTGTCCTCTAACATTTCCTGTTTCTGCAGGTTGAGCTTTTAGGGGCTATATTAACAAACTCACATGAAACCAGTGGCATTAGTTGGTTGACCACCTGAGGCATGTCTAAGCTATGGTCAAACATCATTAGGCAGCACAGCAGCAGATGTTTGGCTTCGGGAGGCAGGAAATGATTTAACTCTGCCTTTATACCACCTTTGATTGTTTTACAGCTTCAGAAAGAGACAGGAAAACATTATTTTTAAATAGTATTTGCAGCTTCTTTTCTGCAAGTAATTATTATGAGTTGTTTATCTGAAACATAATGCTGAAGCGAACATTGCAAACACAAACCTCCATGTACATCATTGGGGTTTAGTTTGAACAACTTGTGAAGTCGAAGGTGCCTGATGTTTAAATCACAGAGGTTTAGGGGAAGACCTAAAACGTAGGGCAGTTTCTTGCCACACATCTTAGAGGGGATTTGGTCCTGATTGCTGTCAGAGGTTAGCTGAACAGTTCATCCATAAAAAAAAACTGGAGATAATGTGTCACAGATACAAGACTAAAAAGTCTGAGCAATCTAAATAATTAACAAGCCAGGCAAAGAAGAGCAGCCTGGAGATCTATAGTAACGTTGGAGGAGCTGCAGTGGTTCACTGCTCAGGCGGAAGAAAAATAACTCAGTCTTGCCAAACCCTGTGCAGAGAAGAATCAAATGTTGACAGAAACCTCATGTTTTCATTTGCCAGAAGTCCAAAAACATTTGGAGGAAGGTGGTCTGCTCAGATCAGCACAAATTTGACCTTTTGGCCAAGATGTAAATGTTATGGGTGGTTATAATCTAAAACAGTAAATGACTTCAGGCTGTCACTCCACAAGAAAGGAGACAGTTTCTCTTTTTTTTTCAGCTGTTATTCTTCAGAGCAAGGAAATGAACTCTGCATTTAACCCATCCCCTTGGGAAGCAGTGGGCTGCCATTATGCGGCACCCAGGGAGCAGTGTGGGGGTTAAGGGTCTTTGCTCAGTCCACTAAAACTCTCTCTTCTTCGAGCTGGATTTGAACCAGCGAGCTAAAAATTAGTGTTGTACCGATACCAATACCAATATCGTGCAGGGCCCCAATACTGCACTAAAATATCAGTATCAGTACAACAACTCCAATAAACAGTACCAACAAATAGGGCACCGATACCATTTTGAGAGCCAAAAGTTTATTTGATTGTCACCCATTCCAGGTAGGCAATAAAAAGTTCTACTGGATTCACTTTGTATTTGTCTTTTTCATGCTTTGCAAAGGTAGGCAGCAGCTTGACAAAGCCATGATGGTAATTATTTTACATCCAAGTAGTATGCAGTTCTTCATATATACACACACACACATCAATTTCAAACAGATGGTATCGGTATCGGGGCCAAAAAATGGCATCGGTGCAACACTATTACACCTTCTTGCTCCAAGGACCTTACTTTGTTTTCTCACGGCTGCATTGAGGGTCTCGCTGCTTGTTCTCTACAGAATGTCTGGGCTTTTTTTCACTGGGTGTCCAACTAATTTACTGTGAATGGACAGGATATGGATCGGCATTATTAAGTCGGAAAAGCTAAGATATTTCACGTATCTGTTTAACTCTACAACCTAGTTGCACATTTCAAATCTGGTGCTTTAAGTGGTCAAACATGCCACTCCTGCTGCAGCGTTTCCTATATAATTATTGGCAGTCCCACCCACATAGCGACGCACTCCTCTGGTGTTTGCAATCTTTCCCAAAAGGCCAGAGCACACGGGGAGCTTTTCTTTTTTATCTGCTTCCTTACATTCAGCTCCTCGGCTCGCGCTCTGTGCGTTATTCTAGAACTAAATCCAACTGTACTTATGAGATGTGCACTTTGGTATTTACAGCTGATCTCAAAGGTTTTTTCTTATATTATAAATAAATTATCTTATTGCTTAAACATGTTGCCTAACTTATCTCCTTAAATCCAAGGAAAATGACATTATGTCAAGAAAAAATGACTTTCTTATATCTAATATTTGCAGTGAATCCGTAATGCATATTTTAAAAAGACCTACAACTTGAAATGTGGTCTTTAAAAGTAATGAAGGAAATTTATGTGAAAGCCTCAAATTGTCAGAATATTTTTTTAAATATAATAAAAAATCTATTATACAGTTATAATACTTTTTTTTGCTGGTTTATTGCAAAATTCGGATCAGATAAATTGGAAAACTGAGTGACATCTGTAGCTCCTTGCAATTGGAAACCTTCAGCTTCCCTGTGGTTCATGCTGATGCACATCCCGGTAAAGCCCATCGATCTGCGTATCGCTGCATAAATGTGTGCATGTTTGTAAATACGCCTGCAGCAATTCTGTCAATTTATTCTATTAACCTGCACTGTTTCCTTCCAGCTGCTCCTCAAACCATAAAAAAAACCATTCCAACGTTACCTTTGGTTTTGTTTAAAAAAAAACGTTTTATCTTGTTGTATAGGCCTGCAGCTGAACCATTATAGGTACTGGCCCTATAACTGTAGTAATACAGTCTGAATAACTTATTAGAGCTTTACGCATTTTATCACTCAGGCCTCCTTCAGTCCAAACTGAGGAACCGAATAGTAGATGATTATATCTGAGAAACTGGGAAAAAATGGTTTCTGGTTTCAATCGATACAAAGATTGACTGAAACCAGAGTCATACATCGTATTGATGGAAAACAAAACGATCTAAAGGGAAAATAAGATGAGAAGATGTTTACTGCTAGACAAAATCACTTTTAACTCCCCCCCCACCCAACAGATCGACCTAAAATCAACCACACAGAAGCAAAAAGATGTTCAGCTTTAACAACATCAGGGGTGGAAAGTAATGAAGTACATTTACTCAAGTTACTGTAATTGAGTACTTTTTATGAGTAATTTGTAATTTTCTGAGTAGTTTTTAAAATATGTAATTTTTACTTTTACTCGAGTAAATTTTAACCTAAGTAGTTTTACTTTGCTACATTTAAAACCCCCTCATGTTACTGAGTAAAAAAAAAAAAAAAAAAATACTGATGGTGAAAAAATTAAATGTGGTCCTGCCTTGCAGTTACCCTTTGTATTGTCTCATAATCCAGTGCTGCGCTTCGGAAGATCGCAGTTGCTCATCACAACTTAGGGAGTATGGATGAGGAAAGGCATGAAGAGGAAACATGGAGACGAAAGCCAGAAAAACCCTCGGCCATATTTGGAAGGATTATTTGTTTTCAAATGCACAAAAGGGAACAATGTGATAATGCAGTGCAACATGTGCCTGACCAGCAAAACGGAGCTTTCACCTTTTAAAACATAAACATCCAATTCACGAAAAAATGTGGCGGTAAGTTAGTTATCATGGTGTTGTCTGTAGGACAGTAGGATTGAAAATTGTTTGCACTTTAGGGTTCAGGTTGTGACTGTCCTTGTGCTGAGAGGAAGTATGTTCTTTAGCCCAGCTGATCTTTGCAAGTGTGGATGTCCACTGAAATACGCCTTGAGATCGATTAAAACACCTTGTGCTCAATTCGATTCATGACTCATCCTTTTTTTGCATTAAATAACTCAAAGTAACTAAGTAACTTTTACTCAAATTACATTTTAAATGAAGTAATTTTGTACTTTTACTTGAGTAAATTTTGAGATGGGTAATTTTACTTTTACTCTGAGTAGAATTTAGGCAAAGTAAAGATACTTTTACTCAATGACAATTTTTTAGTACTCTTTCCACCTCTGAACAACATATATACATGAGTTCCTTTATCAAATTTATCTATAATTGTTCCTAATCAGGCACCAACATTACAGGTCATCACTGGACACTTAGCAGGACAAACAGCTTATTTTGCCTCCTTTATTTACCATGTAATCAGAGATGGCAAAAGTACTCACTTTCCATACTTGAGTAAAAGTACAGATACTTGTGGTAAAAAATACTCTGGTAAAAGTGGAAGAACTGATTAAACTTCTTTACTCAAGTAAAAGTAACAAAGTACAGGCTTGTAAATTTACCTAAAGTATAAAAGTAGAAACCACTTTTTTCATGCCGTTGCCTACATTTTAAATGGATGTCTGCCAATAGGACTAGATCTCCGTTGTGTTCATTTTCAATCATCTCGTCGTCCATGCTACTATGCTAACGCCACCGCCACCAAGCTGCAATGATTTGCAGCGAATGAATACCGCCGAATCTGTCGATTCATCTTGTAGTGGTGCGTCAAATGCAACGTAGATTCCCATCCAATTAGATTGAATTTGGTATTGATGACGTGAAAAATAATAACGGTAACTCCATTGAAATGATTCAAAACTAAAGTAACGAGCCAATTTTTTAAAATGTAAGGAGTAGAAAGTACAGATATTTGTGTAAAAATGTAAGGAGTAGAAGTAAAAAGTCGCCATAAAAATAAGTAGTAAAGTAAAAATATCAGAAAAATCTACTTGAGTACAGTAACGAAGTATTTGTACTTCGTTACTTCCCATCTCTGCATGTAATTAACTAATAAACATCAGAGGCATGATTTGAATTAACATCTTTAGTCAGCATATAGGTTGGTAACTCTAAAAATCTGAGATGATTTTACAGACTAAACGAGTTAGTTAGCTTAATATTCAATCATTAAAAATTGATGTATTATTTTTTCATAATATAAGAACTGTAAATGTACAGTCATTTCTACTATTTTTCAAGGCAGCACTTTTAAAAAAGAGGAAATGTACATAGAGCTGTTCCAAATGAAATTTCTTTTTGTTTTACACTTGTGTAAACAAAATGACAAATAAAATATGTCTAAGTCTAATATAGAGTAAGTTTTTCTTCACATCAGTAAATACCACTGTACATATATAAACTAAAATTTGAATCCAAGTAATTCAGAGTCCACCATTTAACCGTTGGACTCTTTGAGTCCCTTGAGTGAGTTTTTTAACTGTGTAAGATTAAAACTTGAATCTTTCTGAACTTCTAACCTTCGCACTTGTATCAGAAGTGAACATTTTCACACTTGACTGACTTTCATGCAGACCTGGTTGCCAAATAGGAAAAAGAAAAACTAATACACAGAAAGGCTTTACCTCTCTGCCTGGCTTCCAGATGTCCAACAGTAAAGCTTAAAGTAAAGCCGAAAAATCCGCAGTGAGGAAACTCCCTGCTGATGCTTAATGATTCAGAGGGAAATAAGGTTAATGGAATGAATATTTCAAAGTCAATCAGTTTTACAGGTTTTAAAGTTTGAGACTTTGTTTCTCTGAATCTCCGACTAAATCTGTGCATGTGGATGAAAACCTGCTGTGTGGAAGAAAAGACCAGGACTCACTATAGAGGAAAACGCTGGCACTCTGAGCACCCAGACGGTTTGAGGCCACGCAGGTGTAGTTCCCATAATCTTCTTCGGTGACATTGGCAATCATTAGGATAGTGTTACCGCCGAGAATCTGGATATTGATGCCCTGGGTATTAGACAGCCTGGAAAGGAAATACAGACAGGGGAGAGACGGTTTCAGTCTGAGCTCAATCTGTAAATCAGAGGCGTGAGGTCAGTCAAGTATGTAGGTGAAAATAACACGAACGAACTGATTTAGTGATCCTGCTGTTCAGCTCCTCTCCTGAAAACACATTTTATGGCAGTATTGAACTGGTTTCTGTCTATTTTACACCAAAAACATTTAATAAAAATCTTTTTTGAATTTATTTCTATTCTCTGTAATATAAAATATATTTAGCAGGAAAGTAAAGCTCAAGCTTTCTCCAATCAGCTTTATTGAATGAGAGGAAAGATTTATTTGAAAAAAAAAAAAAAAAAACATTCAATAACTTCATTTCTGTTTTCCATTAGCTGGGCTTTGATGCAAGCAAAAAAATTTAACAACAGCAGAGGTCAGAAATGTTTCCGGAAACTTATTTTTGAACCATTTCCATCAACAGATTGATTGAATATCTGAATTTTGTAAGGAACAGCAACATTCCTTTCAGATTATTTTCTTTTCATCTTTAATGCAAAACATTTCAAACAGGCAAACCTGCAGTTTGAAAACTTTAATTGTTTGCAGTCAAATGTCCTTGAGAGGGAAACATCCGTTTTATCCCATTCACTCTATGCTGCAAGATTCCAACACTTTTCCACCTATATGACGATTATAAACCATATTTATAGCAGTTAAACTTGATCACAGTTTCTCAGTAGAACCACAAACTTAAATGAGTTCCAGGGATCTTGTGTTGATCTGCTGTGTTTCTTGTTTTTTCAGGATGCTTTTTGTTCCCCAAATTTACCAACATGTGAGGCCTTCACAGAAGAGCTGACATTAAAATTGCACACATCTACCTGTCCACCATATTTAAGAAACTTCTAAAGGTAGGGAGGTAAATATAAATGCAAACAACAGTTTAAAGAACAAATGAAGTTTGTTAAATGTAATACTTGAAAGTTCTGCTATTGCACACTGGGACCTACTGTTATTATGGTTCTTCCCCTATAGACTTTTTGTGTTTTCAGTTATTTAAGTCATTCTGCTTTGTTTGCCGTTAGTTTCTTTTCCTTTTTGTGTTATATTTAGACAGTTGTTAGAGTTATTGAATGATAATTATAAAATTATTGTGTGGGCATATGAAACATTTAAGAAAAATTATGCTACATTTCTGTCCTGTGATTCAATCAGAAGGGTTATAAACTTTTTTGACCTGCATCCAGTAGGTCATGAGGCAGAGTCACACGTTTGTGTGACTTCCATCCAGCCAGATGATTATGACCTGCATCCTGCCAGATAATCATTATTGGGTTTTCTGTTTAAGACCCGCCCTATTATGTTGTAAACTGTAAATAAAAGGCTTTCCTGTGAAGGGATCTGTGAGAAAAAGTGCTGGTTGGGAGCCAGCAGTCTTTCTCCCCTGTGCAGAGGTTGACGTTACAAATCCCTGTCTGTGTTTGATAATTTCGTCCTCTTAAACTTTTAAACTCACATTTCTCTGGATTTAAACCCAACAGCAGTGTTGCTGTTACTGTTGCTCTCTAGTGCCTGTCTCCTTTCCCCTAGCTCCCTTCTAGCTACTTATTTCCACACCTGCTCCCTATCAGCTGATTAACCTATTCTTTGTTCTGCCCCCCATATATACACCTCCTGTGCAGCTGTGCTGGTTTCTCATTGTTACTTTGCTCCTCGTGTCTGTTTTCCCGTACTTCTCCATTTGTTTTTGGAATGATGGTTCTGTTGATTTTGCACCTTTATTAAAACTCATCTCTACCTCCTTATAGCCTATCTGCATTTGGTTTTCAACTAAAAATGACCATACCTTGATAACTGCGGCACAAACGGGAGAAGCAGAGCAATCCCTGTGGTGGATGAAGGGGGGCAAAACCTTACTGTCTGAACTGTGACTCAGAGATTCTCTGTTGCTGCTGTGGTGGTTCTCATGCCGACCATCGATACATTTCTAAACAACACTTGATAAACTAAAAATGTACCTTTAAAATAAAGTTTTTTTTTAAATAGACTGACAAAAAACTAATGCCAAATCAGTATATTAGACTGGATATCTGATTCTGATTTGCTTTTATCCTATAACAAGGCATTTGCTATTCACTTTTAAAATTGAGAATTTTAATTGATCGACTATAATTTCCCATTATAATAAAATGGTTTAATTTATTGTCAGCCCCTAAATAAACCACCGCCGCCCAGAGTAGAGCTGCTGTCATCAGTTCTCCTTACTTACATCACATCACTGGATAAAATCAGATGCAGTAACTCCTTTTTAACCCCAGGGTGGCACCAAACAGGCGATTTCAGACAAGATTTCAACAAATTTACAGTAAGTTGTCAAAATGATACCTTGGACATATAGACTGCCCTGTTTCACTACTTTTTTTAATTAAAACTGTTTAATAGCTAAACAAACGTTTATTTAGGGGTAATTAGTCCTTTCAGATGTCTATTTCTTATATGTGTCTTATTTGACAAAATGTAAAAAGGTTAATTGCCACCAACATTTTTGCAGAGCACTAAATGTCAGCCCTGAGTCCAGTTTACAGCCACTCAACAGCTCAAAATGTCTCAAAGTGTATAACTCACTGATAAACAGTCTGTTCACAATCAAGATATATAAAAAAATAACATCTTTTGATGACAAGATGCTTATGGTTCCCCTCATTCTCGGCTCATCGAAGCCTTTCACATCTCTAACGAGGTGCAGTTCATTTCAGGCGCCTCCACTTAATCCTGCTTAAGCCTGGGTAATTACTAATCGGAATCTGAGCAGGGGAGCAAAACATTTGTGCTGACACATGCTCGACTGATAGAAAGTATTAGCATAAAAAGGGAAACCCACATGATACACACAGGGGAGCGGGGGAACTTGATAAAAAGCTGAGGCCCATTTCTGGGGGGACACCTTGGGAACGGAGCCGGCGAATGCGTCTGTTTGAAAGTAAAGAAGAGAGACCGAGGAGAGGCCAAGCACACCAGCTTTGCCCCCCCACTTCATCTAAAAGCAAACCTCTTTGCTGCAAAGATAAGGCAGGCAACAGCGGAAGATGTAGGCTGCGGTGCTTTTTCATGAGAAGTGACTGCACTATTAAAAAGGCCTTTCTGCCCACTGAGGAAACCAGATAATACCCAGAGCTGAGAGCAAACAGCTGCTTTCACAATAGATTACAGTAGATGATGGTGATGCTGCAGCGACTGAGTAAACTGACCTAAAGAAGTTGAATAACCTTTTTTTTTCGGTCTCAGATTGTTTTGTTGGCATTAGTGATGCAATGGTTAGTTATTTAACAGCCTAAATCTGCTGCTTGAAAGGCAGGAAACTGAGCGTATTTAAAAAGCTTAATGTTGTTTGTAACTTTCCCCAACAGCATTCAAAACACATCCTTGAATATATTCTCTTATGCCTGCCAGGTTCTTAATCTGGAGCAACAGCATGGGGCAGCTAATCAGAAAAGTTGGCAGAAACTGTTTTCTTTGTCTTATCTTTGAGGAGCGCTTTAAATTCTCTCTTCATAAATTAATATCTTCCTCAACAGGAAGAGGGCAGCAGAGCTCTACTTCCAGCCTTTTCCGCCTGCTTCACAGAACCACTATGCAACATTAAACCTCAGAGCGAAATTATTTGACCTCTCAATTTAGCTGAGGGCACGCGGTGTGAACGGTGGACCGCATTCTTGGGCCGGTGCAGATAAAACACCAGAGCAAATCATCAGATGGATAGATTTGATTGTTTGGCGCGGAGGAGCATCAAAAGTAGGTTATCACTGCCAGGAAATTTGACAGGCCTGTTATGATTCAAAGCTGATGATAAATGTAATCAAGTGGAGAGTCCTGCTGAGACTCGTAACCCAGGGATGATTGAAAACGCTCCGTGGGCAGTGACAGCCGTGAATCAGCTGACAAAACAACAAATGTGTCTGTCTGTCACATTAGCTGACAGCTGTATTTGAAAATTCCTCAGGTCAGAAGTGTGGCTCCCACAAGAAAGGCTTTGCCTTAAGTTTTCTTACAAATAAATTCTGCTGTTTACTCGGAAACCCCTGAATAGAAATTAATTGCCTTAAGAAGTTGATCCAAAGCATAAAGAGTCCACCTATGAGGGCTCACCTGTTGACACGTTGTTCTGCAGAAATGTGACTTTTAGAATAAGTAATTGAAAGAAAAGTCACAAGAAATCATATTATACAGTTTTCTGGAACCATGTAAAGGAAGTTGCAACCCTATGGGCAGGCTATTCTGGCCAGAAGAGACCAAAATTAGACGTATACAAACCCCTATAGCCCTGATTTAATAAGATTTCAAATAGGGGGCGCCATATTCCATGTGCAAATAGTTGACATGTTGCTGATGATCTACTAACTCTGTGTGAGTGACTGATAACAGGCTGTATTTACCTCCACCACCTCCTTCACAATCCCTGCTTAGTTCAAAACATTGCAAACCCATAGACCCAAAATATTCTAATACAACATAACTGTGCTCAGTATGGAGCCTGTAAATGATCATTGAAGGAGAAAAAAATATATATATATGTTGTTCAAAAGATAGGAAAGTTCAAATTTGAATACAAGACAGTTTGCATGTTTTAATGCTTCTTTAAAGGCTCCATGTTAGTTTGCAAAGAAAGAAGACAACATTAAGTTCAGTCATGGTGTTTTTTGTTTTGGTTTAACAGCATAAGAATTGTCCTCAGTCCTGCAGCATTACTCTATCTCATACAGGCCATACAGCAGACAACTACAGTATTATCTGCACCACCTTTTCTGGGCTATATAATCCTCCTCAGTGCTCCTCAGTGGATGCTGCCCTGCATCCAGACATAACAGTGTTGTGCTGTGATGTGATTGTGTACAGGAACTGCAATCCTGCAAGTAAAAACATGGCATTGCTGGATAGATTATAGGTCTTTTGTTCTTATTTACTAGATGTTCATAAGCACAAAAACTCATCTTGTCTGTCACTTCATCTATGCCTCCTTCAAAT